CTGCCCCTTAATTTCTTATAATTGACCTGTATAGTCTGATTTTTTATTCATTTTTTTTTTTCAAAGAAGGGTTTTAAAATGCCCAGCACAATGAAATGCATATGCTCTGTTTTACATTCTTGGCATGTTTTTTTCGTGTTTAAAAGCGCATAGAGGTTCCATGTAATATGTGCTCTATATACAAGTAAGCCATTATTATTCTTATTTCAGATTTTGTTATTGTTATATCTTTCAGCAAGTGTAAAACTCCGAAAAATTTAGTACAAGCCAACGTGATTCAATATTTCAAGCTTGATTTGTTTAACTGCAGAATTCATACTATCTGATCTTTTAGCAAGAATTTTAATTTAGCTTGCTACCATCGGACATGAAAAAGCATCATTGTGGCAGCTGCTTCAATATACAAATAATGCTGGTTAATGCATGCTAACACACAAGGTTCTTGTGATTATTGTTTTATATACAGTAATAAACTCTAGTGATGCTTTAATATAATAGGCCTATATTACGGAAAAAATGCTGATTTATACAGGACTGTAAAGCGAAGGACTCTAGAATAAGCTTGAATTTGAGGTACAGTATGTGTAGCAGAAGACTTAAACCAGTTTTTAATTAAAGAAATTTTGGTTTGTATATCTTAAACTCAGTGTTTTTGTAAGTCTGCAGGAGTTGATTAAAGCCATTGTTATTTTACAAAAAGGATCTGGCACCACTTGAAGACCAGTTGAAACTTGGACCAATTGAAAACCATTTGGAACTTAGATCAATTGAAGACCAGTTGGAATTGGGACCAGTTGGAACTGACACCAGTTAAAGACCAGTTGAATTGTCCAAAAACACAACACTCAACTGGTTCCAGTTCCAACTGGAATTTAAAACCAGTTGGAATTGGGACCAGTTGGAACTGGGACCAGTTGGATTGTCCAAAAACACAACACCAAACTGGTTCCAGTTCCAACTGGTCCAACTGTAATTTGGGACCAGTTGGAACTGGGACCAGTTTAATTGTCCAAAAACACAACCCGCAACTGGTTCCAGTTCCAACTGGAATTTAAAACCAGTTAGAATTGGGACCAGTTGGAACTGGGACCAGTTGGATTGTCCAAAAACACAACCCACAACTGGTTCTAGTTCCAACTGGTCCAACTGGAATTTAAAACCAGTTGGAGTTGGGACCACTTGGAACTGGGACCAGTTAAATTGTCCAAAAACATATTCCGTAACTGGTTCCAGTTCCAACTGGTCTAACTGGAATTTTTACCTGGGACAGTTGGGTAATGGAAGGTTGTGCGAAGAGAAAATTGTACTAAAAATGTTCCACTGAGTACTTCTTGAAAGCAAAAAGAAAGAAAGTCTCCCATAACCTATAGTGTATACAGAAAACCAAAACCTTGAAAAAACTTATTCTTTTAAGTCAAAAAATGTAAATTACACTCTTGCCAAATAATAGTAATAGTTTAAACAGTACCACTTTGGAAAAATAGATATTGCATTATTTATTTAAAAAATAGATAAAGTTTGTGATTGTGCTAATGGTCACACATCTGCTTTTCTGACTCTTCTGTACTATTATATTTAATACTGTATGTGTTAGCTAATATTTACAAACACAATTAAGGGTTGCCTTAATTTATTAGCTGTGAATTATCTCTGTTAATTCACACTTTATTATATCATTTATAAGCTGGTTTTATTATTTATAATTCGAGAAAAATAGAGAACAATAAAGAAAAATAACTTAACAGATTTAATATTATTGACTATTTTTATAATTTACTTGCTTCAATTTTTTTGTGCAATTTTGTGCGAGTGTAATTTCACAAGGAAAGAGCAATATATATTGTACAGTAGTGAAGAAAGTTGATTTTCCAGCTTAGATTTATACATTTAAAATACAGATACAAATACCAACAATATACGTTATATGTTTAATAAAATAGACACCATCAATAAATAATATTCATAATGCACAGATTCAGAAGAAGAAAAGATATATTGAAGTGGTGCAATACACTAACTTTTATTAATAATTATTATTAGATTACTGTTGCTGTCGTGAATACTAAATTTTGACAGCTTTACTATCACTATACAATTTGTATATTGATCATAGGCGTAGATCCCGGGGGGATAGGGGGATATATCCTCCCAATATTTGTCATGGGGAGATGGTCCATTGTATCATCCCCCCACCAATATTTTGACTATGTATGGGATAAAATGAAGCCTTACACATTTCAAAAGACTGTCACAGAAATAATTTGCACTGCCTTATGCGCTTACAAAGATGAAAATTAGCATAATGTATTAATGTTGATAACAAAATTATTTTATCTGGTACCAATCTAAGCTCTTCTTTCCTTAGATGTTAGATGTGCTTGCAAAGAGAGCCACATTTCACACTGAAGGGTGTGTACGACATCAGTAATGTTATATCAATTCCAAGAATGTTTAAGGTTATATCGGTTGATGAGGAATTTATTAATTAGGCCTATAAGAGCAAATCGCATCAAGTTATTTTGCAAAAACAAGGTTTCCAGCTTCAGAGGGAGGCACATCTCCTGTCCGCACAAGGGCACACATTGGCGCTAACACCAGGCGCGTAACAGGGGTCTTGGGTCAGAGTGGGTATATTTTTTTAATTTTTTATTTCAACCATCTTTAAAGAGGGTGTCATCCAGGGGCCCTCTTTAATAAAATTAAAGAACAGTACAAACAACATCATCACAACATAATAAACAACATAACAACAACAACTACAACAACAACAACCAATAATAACAATATTATTATTATTATTATTATTATTATTTTTTTTTTTTTTTTTTT